AAACGTTTCTGAATGATAATTTGCTACATTTTTTTACTTTATACACGTTTGTTTAACACAATAGCATCTGACTGGCAACAATAGCAACTGACTGGCTACTAATGTTAAACACAAACAGCGTTGGCATTAGTTTATGTTCTTGATCAAATTGAAAATAACGTCATAAAGCATATATACATGTAAAATACGTTTAAAACATTAGTACTAATACAAAATTCAGGTCCATAATGTTTGTACGTGTCACCAGGTGACAAACTGAGGCGGAGTCTGTCTCCATGGCAGGATTGATTGAGGATTGAGAAATCAACAACAGGTGCGGAGGATTTTCGTCAGGATCTGCGATGCAGACAACTGGAGCACATAAAATGGAAGTAAAGAGACAGTTGGGTGGCGTGTTCCTCCGGGAGAAGTTGTGGGGTGGCGCTTCCCCCCGGGAGCCGTCGCGCCTTTGGCAGTGGCATGGAGTAGTGAAGATATCTGGAGAAGGCTGTGAGGATCTGGCTGGATTAAGGGTGCAACGGTGATCGTGTGAATACAAGCTGGAAACGTGAACTGGAGGGGAAGTGAGTGAATTGTGGAGATCAAGTCAAGACTGGAGAACGCCATCATTCTTGGGAGGAAGATAAGTAGTGAAACAACGGATCTGTGTGAATGCATGTCCTGCACTGAGTTGAATACGAAAGTGTGAAGTGTATTGATCACGAGTGTAACTGTCACTTAAGAGTGTGGAATGAGTCATCATTGAAATCCTGATATCTTCTTCTGAGTGTGAGAGAATATTGAAGACCTGTTTTCCATGTTGTGAGAAGTCATCTGCATCTCTTCTGAGTGTTGATTCAGCGTAACCGTGGAATGATTGCTCATTGGGTGAGTGCTGGCCTTATTACACTGAGAATGAGAGTGGATACCCAGACAGCAAACTGACATTGAATCAACGTGGAAACAACGTCTCTCATGTCATGACATCGAAACAACGTTGATTTTGCTCATCGAATTAACGTTGAACCAACATCAATTCGATGAGCATAACAATGTCAGATCAACGTTGTTTCGATGTCATGTTTCCACGTTGATTCAATGTCAGTTTGCTATCTGGGTATGCAGTGCCCGAATTGAAGTGTCACACCGAATTGGACTTAACGTGAAGTTTCAGTGTGTGGATGTATATGTATATATAACTGCCAGTATTCCCCAGTTCATATTCTCATCCAGTGTTTGCCGAAGAAAATCTCAGTGTTGAACGTGCATGTTCCGCCCCAGCCACGAGCCCCTGTTTCGATGCTGAAGAGAAGTGTGCCTGCCTTGTATAATTTGTTCTGTCTATTCAATAGAAGACTCCTCCACTACTGTTTTCTTGTGTGATGTCTGCCTGAAGGAGAGACACACCCTAGCCACAGCTTTGTCTGCTTGGAGCAATATAATCCAGCTGTAAGCCCTCATCACCATCTTAAAGAGAAGTGTGCCTGTCCTTGTATAACCTGTTCTGTCTATTTAATTGAAGATTCCCCCTCGTTAATGTTCTCTTGGGTGATGCCTGCCTGAAGGAGAGACGGACCCTGGCCACATCGTTCTATGAACTGAGAGGCCCTCTGTTATGCAGAGCATGTAGGAATCATTGAGCTGAACTGGAGGAACCATTGAGCCAGTGAGCGAATGCAAAACTATGAGCTGTTGCTGACCCTCTGTTATGCAGAGCATGGAGGAACCATTGAGCCGGCGAGCGAATGAGAGACTGTGAGCTGTTGCTGACCCTCTGTTGTGCAGAGCATGGAGGAGCCGTTGAGTCGAGCTGGAGGAGCCTTTGAGCCGGTGGGCGAATGAGAAACTATGAGCTGTTGCTGACTCTGTTATGCAGAGCATGGAGGAGCCATTGAGTCGAGCTAGAGGAGCCGTTGAGCTGGTGGGCGAATGAGAAACTATGAGCTGTTGCTGACTCTCTGTTAGGCAGAGCATGGATGAACCGTGGAGCCGAGCTGGAGGCGCCGTTGCGCCGGCGAGTGAGGAGCTTGGAGCGTTGCTGGTCCTGTGATGTCCAGAGCTGAAGGGAAACCGAACCTTTAAGATTTTAAATGACTCTTATCAATAAAGCCTGTTAAATTTAAACTCTGTCTGTCCGTCTGGTCTCTGGCACGCTCCTCGGGGTGGTCCTGGTTGTTAGGGGTTTGTGCGGTCTGGCCATGACCCACCCCGACCTGTGACATACGCGTTTGTCGTAGACACAAAATAGCATAACTAGTGGCTATAAAGCCAGCGCTGGCATTTGAAAAAAATAAAAATAAAACACAAGGCTACGTCTGGAATTATACATGCAAATACATTTAAAATGATTAAGTCTTAGCCTACTTACAGGTTGTGGCCCAACAACTGCTGCGTCTGGTTTTAAAGTTGGAACTGCTTCATGTTTTAGTAACAGTTTCTTGTTGAATCTGGCATTGAATTCGTGGACATTCTGGAAGCTGTCTTCCGTAAAATGCACAGCACAGAGAGCTAAATTACGAATGGCATTTTCAGGAACATAATCAAACATAAATTATATCCATTGTTGAAGTACAGCATCCGTGGGAAGCTCGAACACAGAAGACCTGACAGCTGGGTGAACACAACACACTCGACAAGCCGCAGAAATATGCGCATGCTCTTTATTGCATTTTACGGAGGGAGGGGTTGATGCAAATGTGTGGGTTAGTGACGTCTGAAACCCAGCTGTAGTCCCAATCGAGTCGTTTTTGTAGGCAATATACTTCCTGATTTTTAAAAGACGATATCACTGCTTACACTGAACTTTCAGCGCTGCAACTTTGAAGATATTGTTCATGCACCAACAGCAACATTACACACTTTAAAAATCAAAAAAGTGAAATCGCAATCAACCCCCCTTTTAATAAAACAATAATTTCATTAACCTCACAAAACCCAGGTTTCATTCATTCTCATGGGTATTGTTTGTTTGCTGTACATCAGGCATTCACTAGGACACTTTTTCTCTTCTGGGAATTTAACCTCAAACCTTTGACCAAAGAGATCAAACCAGATTAAACATCACATTTATTATGATTAAGAGTAATTATATGCATATGCAAAATGTGGAATAACTGGAAACGTTCCCACATGAAACACTTATAATGCTGTATGGACAAACTCAAATTTCATGTGTTCAGCAAAATAGATATTAAAGGTATAGCGGAGGATCTTTCCGAATTTTAGAGAAGACCCGCCCTCTCCATTTAAAAAAAAAAATGCACAAACACAACACTCTTGCTTCCGAGAAGGAACGCCTTGTATGCCTTACACAATTATTATGTTGCAAATTATAAACTAACTCAAAAACATTAATAAAAAAGACAAAAGTCAAAAGTTTTATTTACTTATTATACTGATCGATTGAGTGACCAACGACTCAAGACATGATATGTGCAACCCTTTATCACACGAAATACGTTCTGAGGAAACTGTTTTGCAAATCGCAATTACGTTACATGGCAACATATAAGCAGTGCTATTACGTTGGTCCTTAACCTAATATGTCTCATTGTTAATACGTAGGTAGTAATACGTATTTTTATACATAGTTGCATATGTAATGGAGAAGTAGCTTGTTGCATAATAAACACACAAGGTTTTAGAATATGAACACATGAACACGTTTTAGAATATTTCAGCGTGATACCATTTGGTCAAAAGGCTACTTTAGACAAATTGAGATGTTTACCGTGTCTATGCGGTGCATGACTTGTGCCAGGGCTATATTGCTAAGTAGCTTGCATTAACTGATTTTAAATGGATTTCTCCAAATAGCATGACAAACTTTACCTGTCTAGTAGAATCTTCACGACTGCGGCATCAGTGCTTTCAGCGCACGCCAGCGTGTGATATTCACCCAAAATCACTCTGGTCTTGTTTCTATATTCTGAGGCCTTTCTCTTCTTATCATACACTTTGTATACATTTTTTCTCTTTCGACCCTCAGCCATTTTCAAAGGAATGGCTGAAACCGTAACTCCGACATAATACAACTGAAAGTGAAAACTACACAGGGATGAGCACGTACGACGGCCTTATGTAAACATATCACCAGAATGATTGACACTTAGGTGGACCAATAGTATAGACTACCCACCCGGAAAAAGAAAATCCTCCGCTATACCTTTAATTGTTTTGTCCTCAAACGCTGGAGTCAAACATATCTAATTGTCATTGTATGAAATACCAAATATCAAAGTGTGTGTGTGTGTGTGTGTGTGTGTGCGCTGCATGAGCTATTTTTCATCGCATTTGCTCTGTCTTTTAATCAGCTGGTGATTTTAGTGGATGTATGAAGTGGATTTACTTTGAAATAATTTTCACTCAGAAGTACAATTTAGAAATAATTCACAAAGACATTTAATTAAATGTGAGATTTTGAAGTAGAAAGACTTATAACACTATTTTCTTGTAAAACGTACCTCTAGTTTATTTACAAAATACAACAAAAATATTCTTCTTTATTTTTTACAGTGCAACCAAAGGTGTAGATTCACATTAACTATGGTCATGATCCCCTAACATTGAAAGTCTGTTTATTGTGATCCCAAGTGAGGAAAAGTAAAGTAATAAGTAATGCAATTGTTTTTAGGGAGTAAAGCAATATTGAATCGTATTACTTTTGAGAGTAACTTTCCCAAACACTCTTTTTGGGGACAGTTATTTTAAAATGCATTATATATATATATATATATATATATATATATATATATATAAAATGCATTTAACATAAACTATTCTAGCATAATATACACTTGACTTTGTAATACAGAAGAACATATCTAAAACAGAAAATAAGTGTTTTCTTCCTGTTTTAATGCTAAACTTGATTAAAGAAAGTTCTTACTCTTCATTTAAATAGTGCATAAGGTGTACCATTTCGAATAGCTGAGTGTGAGATTAACATTTCATACAGATGAATTCAAACTGCTTAAACATCTTCCCATATGAACCTGAGAACAGAGTCAGAGCAAACTCACCCAGACAGCCGAGTTGAACTCTGGAGAGATTAGTATCCGTCTGCTGCACGTCTGTCATTCACAGGAGTTCAGACCCGCTGTCCTGACTCTGCTCTTAAAGTGTTTTCCCTGTCGGCACCGAACTTGCTGGCATGGATCCTAACATCACAGGCTGAGAGTTCCTCATTGGTTGCAGGGTTATAGGAGTTGAAGTGGGAGGACTGAACACTGCACAGACTAAAAATGAAATGTGTGCCTGTTTTCTGTTTTTCTTTAAAAGCCATAGGATCACAAATACAGAATCTATCTATCTATCTATCTATCTATCTATCTATCTATCTATCTATCTATCTATCTATCTATCTATCTATCTATCTATCTACTTTTTAAGAAATTAACACTTTTATTCAGCATTAATTAATCAAATGTGACAGTAAGGACTTTCACATTTAAATGTATAATAATGTTCTTTTAAACTTTCTATTTATGAAAAAATAAACATAAAAATGTATCGCAGTTTAACTAAAGAAAATTGGCACAGAATCAGAACAATTTTAACTGTAACATTGATAATAATCACAAATGTTTCTTAAGTAGCAAATCATCATATTAGAATGATTTCTGAAGGATCAAAACTGAAGACTGGAGTAATGATGCTGAAAATTCAGCTCTGATCACAGAAATAAATTATATTTTAAAATGTATTACAATAGAAAACAAAAAAATATTTCACAATATTACTGATTTTACTGTATTTTCGATAAAATAACTGCATAAATGCAAAGATTTTTGAAGTTTGTACAAGTGTACCACTTTTTCAAACTCTTGAGGTGTTAGACCCCTTCCTTGAAAAATCACTGAAATCCAGAGAAAATGAATAATCTCCTGTCAGCAGTACGTTGGCACATATTATCAGAGCTGCAGGACAGATTACCAAATATACAAGAGTATTGCATATGTTCTAGTGTAGTGGCAAAGCAAAAACGCATGGCACATATTTAACAAAACCCCTATATTCAAACCAGATGCCCACTACACAAACCCAACATCTGGCTCTGCACCATTGACACTGATTGGCTACCAGACTTTCAACAAAGCATAAACCAAATCTTGCTGCATTTAAAAATAGTATGAAAGAAATATTACTGTATACTGTATATGTTCTTGGTCCCGGCACTTAGCAGTAGAGATCGCCTCTAACACGTGGAATGGCCATCTTGTATATGGCTGGGTTTGTGTATGGATCTTGACTTAGTCTTTCCTGACATACCAGAACTTGTGCAAAAAAAAAAAAAAAGTGCCTGTGTGTCATTTAACATAACACTCTGAACAACAATATAAAATAAGAAGTCAGTATTTACAAATTGATAAAACAGATCTGTGTTGTTGTGAAGGTCAGCCATTGACAATGAATAAATGATAATTGGAGTATTATCTTGTTCATTCAAGTATTATTGTGATTGCTTGTGCATTTGTAAGTACAACATGGAGAAACATTCACAAATCTACTGATCATACGATCTAAAGTTAAACAATGGAGTGCTTGAGAATCTTTACTGAGAAAACGGTTACGCCATCTAGAGGATCTGAAGAAATATTGCTATTCAAAGAAAGAGCACAGCAATAAAGAACCTGTAAAATGGACCCTAAAAAAAATGATTTTACCAATTTTTTTCTTATAAAAGTGTAGAGTATATGTTACTTGGGAATTTATTGTAAACGTCAGATGTGTGGGTCTTATCTGTCAATTTGTTCCAGTAAGAGGAGGTTCCCAGTGCATAGGCTGCATTTCGAGGGATGCAAAGCGCCCACAGGAAACATGAAGTAAACACTCTCTGGAAGCACCGCCCTGAACCCTAGACAAAACATCTGCCTGAAAGAGAGAGAAAGAGATGGACTGATAGAGGATTATTTAGCGTCAGTACTTTTTTCAGTACATTATAACTATAGAAGAAATTATGAAATTACATTTAAGTTCTACTTAAGTGGGATAAAAAAGGCACTCTTCGGCTAACTTTAACCTATAAATTTTCATCTCATTGCAATTAGCGTGCACTTGAGCCTTCAAAAACATTACATTCACACTCAAGTATCTTATAGTAAATGATTTTCATAAGACTTTTTCAAGACTAGACATTTTCAAGACATTAGTATGGAGAAACATTGTCAAGCTTATAGAGTAGAATGGCTAAATACTGTAAATGCCTACAGTTAAACTTATTTTGAAAAAGCAGTTAACATTAAGTTAGTAATGAAAAGTAGATAAATTCACAGAAGATACATAAGGGAGCAATTTAATATGCTCTTTCTTAACAACAATATATATATATTTTTTAATTAATAATCTCTATTAGAGTGAACGTGTTATACCAGTATAGATATAGTAGATACTGAAAAACAGACTATTAAATAACAGGAGCATAATGCTGCTATAAAAGGGAGGGACTTCAGACTTCTTCGGTGCACTCCACGGCTCATATCTGATTGTCTTCCTGTTGGCTCTCCGTGTAGTTAGTGGTTTGTTTCTCATACATCTAGTTATCACTGCAGTGCCCACAGAGAGATTTCCAGCCAGATTCTACTGATAACAGCCATGGTAATTTGCTCATGTTACATTTGAATGTAAAAATTCTGCAATTATTTACTGACCCATGATGTTTCTCCAAAACCCACAGTGTAAAAATCGGTGGTTGCTAGAATAATTCTGTAAAATATACAGTAAAAAGTATAAAACTGTAATTAACAAACAATAAAATTGCAATTTAAAGATAAATGGTACACTGCAACTAGTGGGCGCTTTCGAAACCTTTACAAATCTTTTGAAAGACACAACAGTGTATATACTTCACCACAACATCTATTATAGCGCCCTGTTGCAGTTGATAATATTCACTAATACTGCATTTTAAATTTGCTACATGGTGCTGTTGCTGAACATAAGTGCTAAGAATAGGCTTTATGCCGTGCGTCACGTGACCAAACCGGAAAACGGGTCTCATCGCATCCGCTTGTCAGAGAAAGTGTTAACGGCCGTAAGAACTGACTACGATATCTATGGATATTAAAGGTAATCAGCTAACCTAACTAGTTCAGTTTGTTATTGCCGTTTTATTCCATTTAAATATCTAAACGTTGCTGTGAAGAATAAAAAATATAAAACGTTTAAATATCAATCTGCACATGTGAGGGACATTGTTTATGCTAATCTTTGCTCGCTCCTTTTAAGTTATCTTAAAGCACATACAAAAGACCTGGACCGGAAGCGATGCGACCTGTTTTACAGAGAATGCGGAAGTAAGTTGTGCATAAAGCCTATTGCTGTGTGCTCGGTTGAAATGCGAAATACAAAAAAGAATGCCTATTTCAGTTTAAAGTCCCAGTGAACCAGAAGTTCGAATTTATTTCATTGTTGTGATGTATTTCCCTAATATTAAACAGGGTTTTATTTTAGCCCTTGCTCATAGCAGACTGATGATGGCTGGAGGGGAGTGGTTGGTAACACTTTATTTGGATAGTCAATCTGTAGATGCTCTATAAAGTATCAACAGAGTATCAGTATCATTTCTCTACTGAATGTCTGCAGACTTTCAACAGTCCATCTGTACATTATTTACAACTATCAACAAATTATCATAAATTCATAATTGAATGTCTGTAGACATTCTACAACAAAGTGTTTGTAGTACATCTATAGATATTCAACAAACCATCTATAACCCATAAGAAGCATTTAAAACCACATTTGCAACTATCAGTAGTGGTCCCTGAATGTATATTTTCATTTTCATTATCTACATATCTATAGCTACTCAGCTGCATTGCTACAACACATTTGAAGATTTTCAGTAGCATTTCTGTATCTTTGCATTTTCATTATGATAATCTACATATTATGCATAGTTACTCAGCTGCATTGCTACGCACATTTGTAGATTTTCAGTAGCATCTCTGTATCTTTGCATTTTCATTATGGTAATCTACATAATTTACATAGGTACTCAGCTGCATTAGCGCACACATTTGTAGCTTTTCAGTAGCATCTCTGTACCTTTGCATTTTAATTATGGTAATCTACATATTATGCATAGTTACTCAGCTGCATTGCTACAGAACATTTGTAGATTTTCAGTAGCATCTCTGTAAGTATCTTTTCATATTTGGTGTTCTATATGACACGTACAGCAAATATTTAGGAGTGTATTCACAACATCTCTAATGTATCCATAACCAGTGGTGGAAAGAGTACTGACAAATTGTACTTAAGTTAAAAGTATTGCTACTTAAGTAATAATTTACTTGAGTAAAAGTAGAAGTACTGAAATATAATATGACTCAAGTAAGAGCATACATAAGGGACCGTTCGGTATTTAGGGAAAGGTCCACCGGAGGAAAATAGGGGAGGGTCATGTTGTTACATGTGTGTCCTGTGGTCCCCCATTCTTTGTGTATTTGGTTCAGTCCTGTTTCTAGTTTCCCGCTCCTCGTTTGTATTCAGTCCCTTCACCTGTGTTAGGTTAATTTGCCCCAGCTGTGCCTTGTTCCCCTAGTCTGTTCTAGTGTATTTAAACCCTGTGTTCTCCTCACTCCGGGTCCGTTCTCGTTCATGTATAGTGTGGTTACTGTTTCCCTGAATTATTTCCTTAAATTCCTGTTGACCGGTTCTCCTTGTCTTCTTGTGCTTCCTGGGCACCACACGCCCGTAACAGAAGAACGGGCCCAAAAAAGAAAGCAACAAGATGGGTATTTTCCTCACCCCTGCCAAAGTCAACAAATCGAAGCTAATCTGTTTCCAGGATGGCCGGCACATTGAGGAGTATGTTGCTGAATTCCTGGAGCTCTCCAAAGGGATAAGCTGGGCAGAAGAGGTCCAGAAGACCGTCTTTTGGTTTGGGTTGGATGATACCCTTTATCATCAAGCACCAGCAGCGGCAATTCCAGGATCATTTGCCCAGTACCTGGATCATGTGCTGTGGTTGAGTGGCTCACCCTTCACCGTAGGTGAGGTAGATGAAGTCGCCACTCAACCACTATCTCCAACCATCTCCACCGCGCCTACCATTAAACCAACTACCAGTTCAGTTTATGGCTGTCCAAGATTAATTTCCTGCGTGGCTGATCCACCGCTG